CGCCATAGTGCCTTAGTTCCTTAGCGGCAGGCAACCCCCATAACCATCCCAATAGTGCACTCTGCACTAATAAACGACCCCTCCCCCCGAGATGTAAAGCAATTTGTAGTTTTTGAAAAATTTACGAGGACTTGTTTATTCGAAATTGCATGACAAAAAACATTTGATTACTTGTTAATAATATACATGAAATTTAATTTTAACTTTCTGCACTCAATTTCAACTTCCAATCAGCATACTTTCCATGTATATTATTACGTCTGTATTTGTAGGAGTGATGAAGATAATCGGATATCCGCAAAGAGGGAAGCCGATTTGTTTGAAAGCACAAATAAGATTTCAGACCTAATTGGGTGACACAAAGAATCATAACTATTAATTAACAAATTTTGCGAAAAGAAATAAACAACAATAAAGTGATTTACTTTGTCCTACAATAAACAGTTGAGCTTGTTTTCGAGACATGTGAAAAAGAAACCCATTCCAGTGCAACCGTCTATTAACTTAAATAGGGCGACTGCTAAGAACCAATCAGAATCAAGATTCTGTTTCAGTCGGTATGTCGCTAGTCTGTCCACAGACGTATTTTTTGCTGCTTTTTTTCTTTCCCAAACCCCTCCCCTTGCGTTTTGGCTCGTTCACATCCCACGCGCGGGGTTAATATTTTGCTAAGCTTGCGATCTCGACGAACTGAAGACAAAATAGAGGGTCTGTGGACAAGCTAGTATGTGGCGAGCAAATCGTTGTGCACGTTTGTGATCAACATCTTTGAATACCTCAATTTCTTCAAGGGACCCAAGACGTGTCTTAGGTGGTAGTCCCAGCGCATCCGGTGGGGGTGGTGGAAAGTCATCTTCGTCTTCCACAACAGGAGCGATTGGGAATTGCAACGAAACATATTTGGTATTTTTCTTCTTTAAGATTTCTAAAGCAAAAAATTAAAAGCATGGCGTTATCTATGTAGTAAACGAGTTAAAACACGACTTCAAACTAAATTAAAATCGAACCGGATTTCAAAATTGAGAAAGTACAGGTTTAACTTTTGGAAAAAGATAGCTTTAAACTACAAAAAAATTCGTGGTAAATGAAAGCCCCTGGTGTTTTTTGAAAGGCCCGTAATTTCGGAAGAGCTTTCGAAGATAAAAATTAGCAAACACGGCTAGTTTCTTCTCGACACAAACTATGATTTTGATTAAAAATTGTCGTTTAACAAATGTTTTATCGCTATAATTGATGAAAATTCTGCAGCTCCTGCTTCCATTTCCTTTGTGGAACACCACCACACGTCTCTGACAAAAGACTATATAAAGTAAGACTTTTGAATTACTGTAATGATAGTAATACCTTCTTTTTTCTTGTAGTCATGTTGCAGCAATTCTTCTTGACTGAGAAACAATTTATCTCCACAGACGCTGGAATATTGCAAAAATGTGGCGGCTTTCCTGGCGTTCATGATAGCTTCTTCCCGAAGTCGTTTACATCTTCGTCTCGCTAGGAATCCTCGAACCACTTCAAAAAGGAAATAAAATGTTTGTGAGTTTTGCCACCTCGTCTGTAGAGCTCACTGTTTGATACAAATACATTGACTAGTATGAAAAGGAGTGAAACAAGAACACGAAAATTCAAAGGATAAGAGATGCAAGGGTTGGCAATATGCACTAAATAAATGCAGGTCTCTCCATAAAAGCGAGAGGTTGCTTCTTCATATTGACATGTACCTTTTTGTATTTTGATTACAGCTTCTTGAGCCTTTTGTAGATGCTCCACCAATTTTTCTGCGTGCCAGTACTTCAAAAACACCTTTGTACGTCTGAGAATTGAACGAAAGAAGTTTCACATAAGACAATCGATATAAAAGTTTCCTAGAATCGAACTGGAACTTTCGACCTCGAGTTTCGAAATAACAATTAGTGAAAAAAGGTTTCGAAAACTTTCGGTGTAGCTTCATGATCAAGAAGACAACACATCTGGCCAATATCCCACAGCTAAAAGGACTGGTGTGAAGCTAGAAAAACGCGCCAGAGACTACTGTAAAACTACTTGCTCGATCTTGTGGCTCTTGTACTCTTTCCTCCTCCGCGCAAGTTTGTGAAATGTTTAAAATCATTGACATTCATTTTCATGTAATATATTCTTCTTACCCAATCTGCCAGTCTTTCAGTCGTGACTTTTTCAGAATCTGTCTGCAGCTCGCTTCACTGCCGGGTAATGTTGCTGAATACAACACAAGCTTGTATCTAAAAGACATGAAAAACAATGACATATGATTAGATGACAGTGAAAGAACATTGGCCCAGAAACTAGGAAAGGAAAGGTTAAGACATATATACAACGCTACAGTATACACCGGATGTTCTTTTTGTCTAAGAGCCATCAAGTTTTTTGATGCTCTGTCCAAAAATGTTGTAATGTAATACATTCGAGTACAGAAACGACGGAACTAAAAAGAACGAGACTATAGAGAGAAATGATAGTGACATCTTATGACAACTTACACAACGTGGTTCTGGAATTTTGACGACATAAAATACCGCTTCATGGGGCATGCAGAAAAGAGCGCCTTGGCAAGTCAGAAGATTGTATTTCAGACAGAGAAAGGTTATTCGTTACATTGGGGTATATCAACAGATAACTCATCTGTAAATAACTCATCCCTCAGTAACCAAACAAATTCAGGCATCTACATGTAGTGGATATGGTACTCGCTTGGTAACTCCATCGTATTGCTTTCGAATCTTGTTGTAAAAGCATTTTCAAAACATGTTGAACAAGAATAGTCACGGCCACTTAAGTACGAGTATGTGTCAGGCATACGGAATAATTTTAAATGTTATGTTGAGCGCAAGTAGCAATACTCCTAGCCGCTTTATGGTATGAAAACCGAGTTAAATGCTTTTGACAAACTCTTTGGGTTTCTTGTCGTCAGTTAACAATTGTTCTCTGTATAAACTGCAACTCACCTTTCCACAAAGTCGGCGAAAGATATCCTCAGTGCATAGCCCTCTCTGCGAATACGAGTGGTCTCCAACACACCAGTGTAAGCCAGCTAACCAATAACAAATCCAAAAGACAATTTTTAGCGTGAATACTCACCGGCTAAAAGTCCTCATTTGTCACCAGCAACGGAGCTTGTTCAAGTCCCTTACTCAACAGAGAGGGATTGATAGACAACCAAACCTGTGTTTCGCTGGAGACAAGCAATCTCACCTACCAACAGCGTACAGTTAGGCAAATAACCTAACGAATTTCGGCATTCATCATCAATCAAGCCATCTATTTTTGAGCTACATATACTTCACTTCATTATTTTCTCTGATTAATGCTAGTACACGTTCGATGACGGGATCATTTCCAGTGAACATTGAGATTTGTTACCTGTTCTTTCACGTACTTGAGATCGAGACTGTCGGATATCTGCAAACAGCACGATGAAAAACACATAGAACATTGTATAAGTCCTGTGATGTACAGGATCTCCAGTACAGTATCGGAGATAACAAATGGTAGCATAATAAGCCGTTGCCACAAAGAACAAGCACTAACATTTATAACAGTACTACTTAAGTGTCACCCTCTTTAAAGAACGTTTGATTAGTTGCTTGATTAATCGATCGATCCTCTAATAACTTTAAATTTCACAAAATCTAGCTCTGGCGCATTGGGAAGACAGAAATGTTCAATGCATTTCCTTGAGCAACATACAAGCTGCACGACTTCGTAACTCCGTCGGCGATTTCTTCGGGAGAAGAACTAAATAGCGAAACTAGTCTACAGCTGCTAGTTTTCAAGTACAGTGGTAACAAAAATCAAGTCAGGTACCTTTTCATTGTTTGGCTTGATGCACCTGATGAAGTGCGGATTGGCAGCTGTCATTCTTTCCATGAGGATCCCTAAAGACGTCTTGTATGAGAGAATAGGTTTTGATGATCACAAGTAATTTCTTTTCTGATGCCACCACTATCTTTAAAAGGCACTACTCCAGTAAAAAACATAACATATAGTGGTACATACAATCTGTCTAACAAGTCTCATACTGACATTTTTGACGGCCTGTGCCCTCATCGAAAATAGTTCAAAATGGCAGTATGAAATCTCCGGCTCATCTACGTACCAAGCAACGAGCGATTCAGATTCTGATAAAAATATGACAGAAAACACTTACCTTGAACTGCGCGCCAACAGTAGGTTTTTTGGTGGCAGGCATTCCTTGGCGCGCCTTACTCAGTCTCTAAAAAAAACAAGACCGTACAATACCATGTAGAACTGTGGTAATAGCAACCAAAACGTCAAACAAACTGCGGCAACGTTGGAAGCAGACTTCTCCCATTGCACGCTTCAATCTCCTAGAGACATCCACGACTGAAGCCGAAAAATTCCATGCATTCCACACAGATGACGTAGCATTACAAAGATCTATCAAAAGCCTCTGATTGGTCGTAATTTGCCAGCGAAAAATAATACCCAGGTGACAACCAATCAGAGATCATTAACAATCTGTCGTCATCTTACGTCATCAGTAAAGAATTTGTCGGCTTGAATTTCAAAAAAACACTCTCGCAGGAGATGCAAATGAAGATACGAAGAGCTCTGACTCTTGGGCTACTCAAGCACCTACTCATTTCTCACCTTAGTTCTTCTGACTATATTTCCTTTGCTTACTCGTCCTTGCAGAGCCAGTGTCCCAGTTCGTGTGATTGTTCCTAAAAGAGTTCAATTTGTGCGCTGGTTACCAACAAGGCATGGAGGACTTAAAAATAAAAAGCTACACGTTACGGTTAGCGTCTCATTAAACTAATGAAGGCTTAAAAAGAACAGGCGGAAACGTCTTTGTTTTACTCAACACGTCTTACTCCATACATGTTACTCAGTCAAGTAAACAATTCCTAAAATTAATATCACGTAATCTCTCACTAGATACAAGTTACCATAAACGCACACCATTATCTTAAGGATGGCGGAAATCTGAAAATGATGGTGTGTCATTTTAGAACAGTACGCAATAAATAAAGGGAAACGATCAGGACAAAACAAAGGCTACCAATGGTGTATCACTATCAGCAAAGTTACAAACACTGGGTCACATACATTATGCTTACCAGAAAAGACTGTGACAATCAGAGGGTTATCGCTTTTCCTCAGCAGATCCATAACACCTGGTGGCAGGGTGTCACGGTTCTTCTCGAGGAATCCTGTGGCGTCATATTCAACCTGCAGAAGTCAACACAGAATCAAATACAATAACGCTGTTTCTCACTTCCCCCTGCCAACTCAAGGCGTCATCAATTTTCTCCTCACATCAAAAACATCTTTAACCGTGTGTGTGTCGACATTTGTTAAGTCAGGGAAGGTCGTGTCACTCAACATAGAGGACAGACCAAAATGTTCCCTGAGGCGAAGCCGAGGGGAACATTGAGGTCGAGGGGAAACAAAACTCACTGTTTCCTGCGGGACCAGTCATTAAGTGTTTTGTTATACCTCCCAACTCAAAAATAGAAAAAAAACTGCGAAGAAATCGTTTGCTTGACGCCGGCTGGCACACAAATTTGCCGCGGTTTCATGGAGCACGACCTGGTCACGTGCGAGTCGAAAGTTCAAGTTGTTGTTTCCCTAGGGAGTTAGTGAGTTTTGACCCACGACACGTGACACGTTCTCCTCCAACCGGAAAACGTATTTGAAATGACCAACGATGATAATTGGAATATATTACTATATAAAGAAGCTTATCATATCAAGCGTTCAGTACCATATTTGAACACTAGTTTAAAAGCCAGTAGCCGGAACTATGCCTATTCTCTTGATGGTATCGTCTTTGTTTTATATTTTCACTAAATAAATGTACCATCTTGCAGTATTTAAATTTCTGCTACCTGCATGTCACCTCAGTCTGAAGATGATATAGAATTATTTCGAAATGTTACAAGTACATCAACGATTCCTTGCATTNAAGCTCTAAGTTTCCTTTTTGCAAGTAACTCTAGCTGAGACACTGATTGAGACACATAACAGCATGTGCCATTTTCTCGTCGGTGTTACTGTTAAACCTTGAGTGAACAGTTAAAGTATCATTTTCACAGCTCTTGGTTTAGTCTAATTCGTGATTTTACGCGTAAATTTTTTAGCTATCTTTACGTTAAGTGTCCGAAATTTTTGTCCGAAATTTGTCCGAACTGAGATGAAAACTGTCCCAAAATTAAACGTCCGAAATGTTTTGCAATTAATGTAGATCGGTAATGATCAAGAAGGATTTAATCAGGCTGATCTGCGATGAAAAAGACGAACACAGATGAACTCACCAATACAGGTTTGTTGTCCGCAAATGTGACACCTGTCCAGTCAATGCCTTCCTTGTTATATTCTTCCTGCTCCCACATGAAAATGTGCTGCAAGGTGAAAACAATTTACAGTGAAATATCAATCCTGGTCAAAAACTAGAAAAAACAATAAAAATTATAGTATTGAATATACCTTGTATCTGGTTGTAGTGCGTGTTCGTATCATAATGTACCAAGTCCATCATATCTCAAAGTTAGCTCTCAAAATAAAAAATCAGCATCATGGAGAAAATCATCTCCCCGTGACTAATACTCTGAAGAACATTTCAGCGAAGTTAAAAACTGAGGTTCTTTCTCCGAATCCAGTGATTATACAAAATGCATTGACTGTATTTTGTCTAAAGCGTGGAAATGAACGTTTACGTTGTACAGTGATTCCAGCAATCCACCAATAACATTTCAGGCCACAGGTAAAGCATTAGCTACCGAACGGAGACTAACGACATGCAGATCATAACGGATTTTAGTAGACACTAATAGTTATCTATTTATCCGTGAGTGTGATCGGCAATCGAGTTCGTCTTTGACTAGTTGCCAACAGAAACAAGTTCTCGCGCGCTTTAGCCTTGAAAGGGAAAAAACATCCTTTATATTTAGGTTTAATAAAATGCCCCACATATCCTTTATGGTATCAATTTAAACAATTAGACTGTTCGTTCTCCTCATTTTCGAGCGGTTACGCTTCGTTCATAGAAAACTAGAACTCTTAGTTTAATTTTCTGTCGTACAGTTGCGCTTCATCAGAGCTATTTACCTGGTTGAAGAAAAACTGGAGTTGTTCATTGGCCAAGTTGATGCACGCCTGTTCAAAGCCGTTGTTCTCAAAATGTTCAAAACCAAATATATCAAGGATGCCTAGAAATAACAAGACATAGGGGCAAAGTTCTGTGAATCTTTATTCATTTGACAGTAATTAACCATGTCCCTGATGTTAAACTGCACGCCATTTCAATGTCGAGACATCATCAACCCTTCGGCTAGTCCAACAATAGACTGCAAGCAATACAAAGCTAAACCGAGAAATGCAAACAAGCCAACTTCGCATTTTGCAATCTACTCTGACCCAGGCCATCAAGCGAACCGTACCTATTTCTGTGACCTCTTCTCCTCTTGACGCCATTGGTGGAGCCAGAAGTTGATTCACCTTGTTGACGATCCAACCAAACAGACGGCCATACAAAGCTTTAGCTGTTGCATCTCGAACATCTGTGAAGTAAAACACACAGTCACTCATCTTGTATAACATCTCCTGGCTCTACATGCTAGACACACTTAACTGAAGGAAGCAATTTTGCAAACTGGACATATACAAACTTGTGATAAGCTGACTACGAGTCAAAGAGTTAAACATCATTGTTGGAAATAGCAACAGCAAAGTAAGATTGTAAAGCTCAGAAAAACAGAAACACCACAATATTTGTTGAGTTTTCAGAGGGACAACCCTTAAACACGTGGTAAGATTAGGGGACACTATCTCGACCATTTTGCTCTTCTTCTGGTCCGTGGAAACAGTGTTAAATTATGACCGAATACGTTCGCTTGTTCGCGAAATGCTCCCAGAACACCAGCATGATAGACTATGAAGGTAATAAGTAAATTGTTGAGGGAAGAGTAAATTGTAATGAGTTTTTTTGCGTTTTTTTCCGAGACAGGACGGAGAATTCGAAAAAGGTTCCTAGACCGTTTCAATCGACAACTCGACAGCACAACCTTGTCAATGCGTAACCCACTATAACTTTCCTTTTACAGCTGTGGTACATCTGTAGAGTAATTTTCAACACAACTAGACCAGCATTTTTAGGTTTCTAGCAATAAGAATGAGGTTATTACAACTTTCTAACCAATTGCCTGATGATCTTTCAGTCTTCTCTTGATCACACTGCCACGTGTTGTAGTTGTCGTGGACGTCAGCACCTCTGCTAGTTTCTCCGTGTCCACACCCAGGAGTTTCTGCCGCATAAAGAAAGGTGAATCAATTATTGGTCGCCCATTTGACTGGAAATAGTTTTTTGCAAGAAAGTTCGCTGAATATGATGATGAAAAGCTTGTATGCAATTTTTTGAAAAGTTCGCAAGCATTAGTACCGCTTTCCGACAACCTTATTACGAGGATTTACCACAAAACACACTAGTATAGTCTTGTTTCGAACACTTTGAATTCATATTAAATCTGCACACAATGAAAGATGATGTTTTGTTTAAATTGTGCTACTTTAAATGCAATCAATGACTTTAATGAAGCTGTGCTTTCGTTTTTTTTTCCAAGAATGTCTCAAACGTGAATGAGAGATGAGACATGAGAATGTCCGAAACATTATAATAGAATAACTATCTATTTCATTCAACCAACCATTTTTTCCAGTTGAAATGTTTTCAAGTTAAGCCTCAAGGATCCGCAAGGACTGAAAACCCAAATTTGTTATCGTTTAGAGATTTCCAAGAAGTTTTAAGTGTAACAAACCGCAGCTGTCCTCAAAGGTCCGTGAGCTTCTTTGACAATAGCGCCCTCATTTTCATCCATCTCAAATGCGATGTTACCCATGTTCAGCACACCACCAAGAACTGTAAACATATCTTGCTGCTCCTAAACATAAAACATCACAACAATCTCGAGTACATAACTGACTAAACAGCCTATAAAAAAAACATGGTTTACAGTATATAAAAGAAAAGGCTGCCGTGTGGGTGGGGAAGGATGGTGTGAACTTCCCTCTTCAAAATCTCACACCTGTTATACAGTTCCTGCCCCTTTCTTAGTAGCTCCTGCCTCATTGTGTTTTTCTATTGGAAATGCACTGTACAGAAAAAAAATTTCCTATAGTGCTACATCCAGTGTCTCCTAAAGCCCAACCCCTGACGTCCTCATTCGTGAGAGGTGAACAATAGGGGACTGTGAAGGGTGGAGTACAGTTTGACTTTAATAGGTCCCACGTCACTATTATAATGATAGCTGTGAAGGCCCAGCAGGAACCCTGAACAAGCTGGTAAATAGGGGCTCTATGGCAAGTCTGCAGAGGGCTAATCACCCTCTCAGATACAATCCGAAGAAAGGAAACAAGGCCTTATGCATCCCATATTCTTGTCACCTTGAAAATCCCATAACAATAAAATCTCTTTTCTAGCTTTGCACGGACTTCCCACACCCCTTATTGATCTTCCCCTCTTCTCCCAAGCATCTCTAATTGGTTTATTCAAATGACTTAAAATCTTACTCTGCCAACCACAAGCAAAGATAGTAAAAAATCAGGCTACAAGGTTGTAAAAAAATCTTTATCCATAAAATGAAATGATGATCATGGGATATGACGAAGTATATGATAGAGGAAAGTGGAAAAGTTGCTAGTAATGTACCTCATCAAGGAAGCCCACCATATCCATAGCATTTAGTAGCTCATCAAACATTGACTTGTTTTTCTTTATTTTCTTCATACTCGCTGCTCCTTCAAACAGATAACTGTTCCAAAAAAAGCAACAACTAAAAATGCACATGTATCTGAGCATATATATGCGTAAAACTATGCATTATGCGGTTAAATGAAATTTATGTCAAAATGAATCCAAACTACATGTAGTTTATTGACTTACTTTAATGTGTCTTACGATTATGGAAATAAATTAGAAACACAGGAAAATTCAAATCATTAACTAGTTTGAAATCATTTAAAACCCAATTTAATTTTAAGCTACAACATAATTCAATGTACATTGTCAGTTGCTATTGATGATGATGAAGATGATGATGATACGTCATAACATATCAGACAGACGTGAGTCCAATTCCTTTTCTCTTCATACTTGTAAGTGATATATTTATCCCCAGTACAATTACGTTAAAAAAAAAATTATGTTAAGTTTGATTCTTTTTTTCTGTGATGTGTTTCGTCCAAGCTTAAGGAGAAGGTCTACATACAAGCCAAGTGGCTCATTGGCCCAGCGGTTATCTCCAGGTTCTATAGCGTGAAGTGACTAGGAACGTTTCTCCTTCCCCCTGAATGGGATACTCAAGTCCATTGCAGGGTTACCCCCCAGCATTAAATTTGCTGGTACCCATTTATACACTTGGGTGGAGAGAGGCACAGTAAAAGTAAAGTGCCTTACCCAATACCGCAAAAAAAAGGTCCCTGGCTAGGACTTTAGCCTGGACTGCTTGATCCAGAGGCAGGTGCACTACCCATGCTTCTTTAAGGAGGAGGTGCTTGGTCACCAAATAAACAGGACAAAACTATCCATAGAGAAGATATGATTCATGTCTACTCTTACCTATACTTGTCTGGTCTGGTTAGTCCATACTTGTTTTGGTCATCAGTGGAGAGACCAGCAAACAAGTAGTAGAAGATATGAAAATTCTCCTCGCCACTGCTTTGTCGTACAACACGGGATTTTTCCAAAAGATACTCAGAAATCTTAGCACCAATGACTGAAAATTTCAGAACAAATGTGATTGGTATGAATAGAAAACAAATTATGTAACACAATTTAATATGCACAACTAAATCTGAAATGATTTTAGATTATTGCAACAACTTTTAAAGATCACAGAGGAAAATAATAAAGGTAATGACTAAATCTTGGAGGAAACATTTTAATGAGAACCGTGGTAATGAACAAGAACAATGATTGCCTAACCAACCAAACAATATCACTGAACAATCACCAACTGTCAGAATTTGATGGTATGGTCTACTCCCTGACTCACTAGCCAGGCATACATCCTCGAATCTGCCAACCAACCTGCCTGCCCTCTGACCAACCCACCCACCTAAGACCCTTACCAGTGTACCAACTGATGTACCAAAGCAAGGAAGGAAGCAGGGAGAAAGAGGGATGAACATTACATTTGAGCCAATGAAGAAACAAAATCTGAATAAAAGAACAAGAAAGCTTGCGTAAAGCACATGTGGTATGAAATGAACCAATGTCCGGACAGACAGACAGACAGACAGACAGACAGTCAGCTGGATAGATTTTCTTACCCATGCCTTGCTGGAATTTCAGCTGAATGTACTTTCCAAATCTGCTTGAGTTGTCATTCATCAGAGTCTGAGCATTTCCAAAAGCTTCCAACAAAGGATTCACCTAATGGGCAAGTTATCAATTCCAATAAGAATAAAACTTGTCCAAGCAAGTCGTAACCCTTCTAGGGGCAGGTGTACTTGACTCTTGTTGTTTTTACAAATCATTCAATACATTTACATTGTGAAAGTCACTTGCCCAAAATATAGTGAGTACTGTGAAAACTGAAATGTCCCCAGCATTCACCATCCATTTGCTGCTGGGATTTCATTAACTTTTTCAGGAAAAGGGCCACTGGTTTTAACAGGCAGGAAAAACTTTTTGAATTGAACTTCACTGAAAGAAAAACTTTCTTGTAGGGGCAAAACCATCCTCAGAGCTGGTCAATTTGTCGGGCCTGTTGCCACCCCTGTTGCTGGTATTCCTACAGTTGAAGATAGGAACTGCACATACATGTACATTACAACACAGTGTCCCCTGCCACTGACTCAAAACTCAACCTCAAATCCAGAAGTTGTCTCATCTCAGTACACAAGGTAAGGGTAATACCTGCAGGATCTGCTGTTCCAACTGAGATGTTCCTCGTGATAATTCAACCAGCTGACTGATCAATAGTTTGGCTGATTCTGTTTTGCCAGCTCCACTCTCCCCACTGTAAAGAACATGCAGTGGTTAGTTGATTTTAAAAGTATCACTATATAATTATTGAGCTGTTTAGAGCTTTAAGGTGGCTCAACAGGCCATGGCATTGAGCAACATAGAGTATTGTGCAAATTATTCCAGAAAATATCCATAGCCACCACAAGGAATTAATAGGTCACTGAAAATTCTGAGGGTAAGGACAGTTTCAGAACCTAAAATGTTTAAAGGAAAGCATCAAGCTGAATTGGAATTCTTGAAGGAATAGGAGGGGTATTCATGGATATTTTCTGGAAGGAATAGGAGGGGTGTTCCTGGATATTTTCTAGAAGGAATAGGAGGGGTATTCCTGGATATTTTCTAGAAGGAATAGGAGGGGTATTCCTGGATATTTTCTAGAAGGAATAGGAGGGGTGTTCCTGGATATTTTCTAGAAGGAATAGGAGGGGTATTCCTGGATATTTTCTAGAACAACACTCACTGCATGTATTTCTTTACTTGCAGAGTGAATTCGAAACAGCCCAGCCCCAGGCTACCTGGGCTACCTGGTTAATTGATTAAACTGGGAAGTGTTTTCCAAAAGGTGGTCTGCTGGTTTTAATTTGTGAGATGTTTGAATGATCAGTAGTTCATCCTAAAAGTTAAAATTTCATATCATTTTGTTCAGTATCTCTGCATGCATGAGCTAAAGAATTAAACTGAAGATCCTGTGTACTAAAGGCATCCATGGTCAAGTGTCAATGGATACCTTCGATCAACACTCGATGGACACTCGATCAACATCTTAGTTGCTTGATCAACACTCTACACTATACACCCACACTCAATCGACAGTCAGTCAATAGTTGGCCAAGTGTCGACCAACTCATATATACCAATCAACCCTCATTTTTGCATGTCTGCAAAAATTAACTGACTCTTGAGCGACTGTCGAGTTAGTGATTGTCAATGTTGAATGTTTATTGACTGAGTAGCCATTGAGATGTCAATCCATTGAGGGCAGCGATTGACACTCGACCACAGATGCCTTTAGTACACATGATCCAACTAATCTGCTCAGGATCACCTGATCACACAACACTGGCTTTTGGGACTTACTCCTCCAACACCCAACATCGCTTGATATGCTGAATCAGCAATGGCAAAAATATGAGGAGGCTGCAGTGATTTCTGTGTCATCTTGTATCTATCTGCATTCTAACAAGAAAAAAAAGTTATGAAGCAGGTGCTTTAAAATAGACCAAGCTGGATAAAATGCATTTTTTAGGAAAGTGAAGTGCATACTCACTACCACCGTCTAGAAAACATAAGTATATTTAAAACAATATTTCGGCTAACCAGGCCAGCCGATATATGTTTTAAATATAGGGCATTGTGTCAGCCTTGCAGTAAGTCTTTGACTCCTCACCGTTTTCCAAAATCGATACCCTATTTATGACCAAAATGGCTGAAAAACCATACCCTTTGAGGCCACACATACCTATATAGCCCAAATAAGGAAGTACCCACCCCCCACCCGGGCTATCAGTAGCCTTGGAAGTTCAGTTAATTAACTTTTGTAAACTATTTCATGGCTGCATTAAAGGGTTGAAGGACAACGTACAATCTATGAAAGAAATTGTGCACGAAACATACGGTAGTGTCGGGGGCTCTATGGGAAATGTTTTTCCTGTTTTTGAGCTCCTGGGTTCGAACTTAGTTACCGGCTGAAAATAAAACTTGCAGATTAACTTAAGCTTTACTCATTAAGCTCAGATGTTGGATCGTTGAAACAACGCATTACATTAAAGCTTTCCCCAAAAAGCTTCAAAAGCGTAGAAGCGTGGCACAAAAATCCTGATGAACTTACAATGAGAAACACCTTAAACAGACATAAGCACGAACAGGTGTTGAGCTGAGATAAACAAACTTTGAACAACTTCAAATATCATACAAGTTACTTCAAACTTACATTCTTGTGGTAAATTCCCAAACGCTTGAATGGGTTGAGGGCAATTAAAATGTCACCGACATACGTCTGAAAATGTTCAAACAAGTGTATTACGTTTAGACTAAGGAATCAACTAATAACAAGCACGTGAAGATCAACATCACTGAATGCGAGCAAATCTTCATCTCACTGCATATCGACCATATCATTCCATTTACGTACATAGATAATATCTTTATGGTATCTTGCTTGCAACTCCTGAAGAATGATCTCCTCATTTAACTCTGACAATGTAGCTAAATCGTCAACACAACCTTTCTTGGCATTAGCCATTGTTTCCTGCCTTTTGCACGGTGGAAAAGTTCTACAACAGACCTCCGAACATTTTGCCTCGCTCCTGCTCCTACAAGAGCGTGACTCTAACAGGCGGGAATTGCTTTACAGCTAGCTGTCACGCCATCTACTATGTTTGTTTTGCTGCCTCTTTGTTGTATAACGTCACAATGCATAATGAAGCAAAATACATGTTCACAAAAGTCATCACTGTAGCTCTTTAGGAAGGAAGTAGTGCAAGAACAGGAAATCAATTTCTAAGGTGAAAGTAAGTCTTCTGTCTTAATCGCAGAACTGTCCAAACCTTGTTTCTGTTAAGTACCTGTGGCATGAGGGAGCATGCAAGTAAGTGTCATCCAAAGCCCTGCCTCGTCCCCATGGACCTTTGCATTTCGTTGGTTACTGGTAGCACTGTGCTTGGTTATTTTGCAAAGTTTCGATGTGTAACCAGCCCACAACCACACACACACACGCACACGCACACGCACACGCACACGCACACACACACACACAGCATTCAAACCAAGGACAGATGCTGGGGGGCATGGTATGCATGTGGCAGTCTGACGCATGCTTGTGCCATGAACTATTGCATGAAAGTGACATGGGTGATGGCTGTACTATGTAGAGGTTAAAATTGATTGGCTATTGTTTGCATTATCCTGATAAACAGAAAGATTACAAGTAAAGAACAACTTGTCAGAGAAGAGGCATTCAAAAATATCAATGTTGGTTTGAGAATTGGTGTCTCTTGGGGCCAAAAACAATTCTGTTGACGTCCAAAAATGTTTTCAAACCCCGTGACAGCCATTGAGCACTTTCATATGGATATATTACCAGGTTTTTTCAGCAACTGGCCATATCCACTGGTACAACAATCTAACTTAACCAATGATATGATTCTCCTTCACAAAATATTCACAAATAGAGAGTTTATTCATTTCTCTTTTACACACAAGTGATCAAAACTGACTACAGAAACTTCAACTGTAAAATCTCAGGAAGTTATTTGGGGCTTTGAACACAGAAACATCCTTCATATATTTACAAATTTGTATATTCCCTGAAAGACTGATTGGAAATCATGTAGACCTTATACTAGGGCAAACAACCTAATAATTCAGTTCTGTTATCTATGAACTACTAATAGCCTTAAATTCCATGGATTGCACATCCTACTTATGTGGAAAACCAAGACAATATGAATTTGTTAACTACTTATATTATTCTTTGCAACTAGATTAAAAAAAGAACTCCCTCTGGTCAACATTGTTCAAAATCTCTGTTAACCATTTTACTAATTAATTTCACAAAATATTCGTAAAACATTAATGATGACAGACTGTTTAGAGGAGACACAAGTGTTGTCAACACAAG